AGAAATTAGAAATTTCCCCAAATTCTGAAATTTGCCCAAATTCAGAAATTTACCCGTGACTTCGAGCAACAAATGTATCTCCTTCCTGGATTATGAGCAGTCCACGACGTTTTCGTAACAACATTGATGCGACAATTGCAATATTGAGCCATCGTCTCCAAGCTGTCTCCAAGAATTTTCGCGTGCGTCTTACTCTGTTCACTTATCGTGATTTTAACGGGAATTTGTTCAGTGATGGAAAGACAAATATGTCCTGCAAACATCAGAGAAAAAGGCGATCTTAGCCTCAAGTTTCGAGCGTGCGAGTCGCACGCTCGCTTTTCCGGTGGAATATGGACTCCGATGGCCGTTAGGTTGCGATACAGACAAAACATGTATTAAAGGTTGCAAATAATGAAAAAAAAAACTTTAGGTTGCAAATGCCAAAAACACGTATAGTACAGGATGCAAAAAATTATTTACCCTATATACCATCTCTCCAATAATCAGATCCAAACAAAAATTTATGAGTTTAATATTAACTATTCTTTTTTTTTTTAATAAACCTTTTTCTTCCCCACCCTCTCTACTTTTCGTCAGATTCTAGTAGAAAGGAACACTACGTGTTGAAATTTCTATTATTCAAGTAGACCCCAATGGCCCACTGGGCCCCATTCATTGGGTGGAACTTCACGCAAAACCCAATTCCCAAATAAATCCATACGGCCCATGGGCCATATCCCTCTTGCGGCCTAGTGGCCCACACTGCAAACGCACCTTCTGAAATTTTGATGTGACGAAACCACTTATTAATAGTGTTGATTACTTGATTGATTAATTTCTATACACGAGTATTAAGATATGTTTATGACTAAACATCGTATTTTGCAGTTTTAATTGATATTTGTATTTTTTTTCTAAATATTGGTTATTTATTCAATCTATATATATAATTACTGGCTGATGCATTTAATAAAACATATTTTCATTTCCCTCCTAAAAGAGTTATAATTTTTTGATTAATTACTCACTAATATGCTAAAACCGTTACATTTTAATATATATATTTTTATTATTTATTTTTTAACTCAATTACTAAATTAATTCTAAATTTGGTAACAAAATATTCAGATGTGTAACGGCTAATGTTGGTACTTAAAGTTGATTATCGCTATATTTGGTTGCATTGTTGGAAGAAAAAATATGATTGGCAGATATTTTACACCAACAATTTGTATTATTTATGTTAATCTTCTTAATATGTGCCACAAATATATAAATTATTTTATTCATGTTACTAATGTAAACGTTGGATGGTTAAAATAAAATTTAAATCTCAATTGATTTTGAATGCTAAAAATAACTTAAATCTCATTTAATAAAAATATGTAACTTTCAGTTACACAATTTATTTTGGCAAGTCTCATTTGGAATGTGTTCATTTCTGTAACGCCTTTTTTATGTTTTAAAATACAAAATATTTTTATTTTTATTTTGATACTCTATATTTTTTAGTACTATAATATAAATACATATTTCAAAACTAATTAAGAATTACTACATATATCTCTATTTTCTATTGCAGTCATACAATAATAATTTTTGTTCAGATATTACAAAAATACATCAAATATTTTGAAAAATCGAATCCCATAATCACGAGTCGAAGAAGTTTAACGATAATGATTTGTTGTGATGAAGATTCTAATGATAGGAAAACCACGAATGTTGTATATAAAGAAGTGCTTAATATTATTTAGATTCACTTTTTAAATTACTTTTTTCTCATTTATTAAGTTATGATTTTTATTTTATTATATATTTTTATTTACTTTCTCTTGTATCATATCGTTTTTCGTGCAAATGCACGAGTATAACTAGTATTAGTTATATTACTTGCAGTTTTCATTACATATATTTTGTGTACACAAATTACATATCATCTCATAATACTTGTACTTAAACTTACTTTCGATTCTTATTATATTTATTAGTATTTCATCCTGTGCATTTGCACAAATATAAAACACGTTTTTGTTTGTATTTATTAATTAGACATTTACTTCTATCATATAAAAATTATTACTTTTTCTTTTGGAGGGTAAAAACGTAACTCCTTTTGGAGTAATTAATTAGATTAGTGAGTGATTGGGTAAAAATGTAACTCCTTTTTAGATATGGTACTTCTATCATATTAATTAGATTAGTGAGTAATTAATTAAAAAAAAATGTAACTCCTTTTGGAGTGAAATGAAAAATAATTTTATTAAATGTTTTATTAAATGAATCAGCTAGTAATTATATATATATATAGGGATGCGTTCCGGTGAGAAAGGTACACAATGAAANTATATATATATATGGATGCGTTCCGGTGAGAAAGGTACACAATGAAAGAAATAAGAATAAATTATAGCCATTAGATCCGATGATCTAATGATTAAAAACAAGTCGACCTCCTAGCTCTCGAAGTCGACCTCGCATACCTCGTATAACAAAGATGTGATGACGACTCATCACACTTGCAACATACTTAAAGTTCTACACATTACAAAGGATAAGAAGGAATCTGGTGATGACTCAGCAACAAGGAGAGACGAATCGACCAGGGCATTTTGGACCTTCTAGGTCCACCGACTTGGGCATTTTGGGTACTTCAAGTAAGTATTCACTCCTATATAAAGGAGGTGAGGTAACTCCAAACCCTAACTCTCATTCATTCCTATTCTCCCCCATAGCTGCTGCGCAGCATCTCTTCATCACTCTGATACTGACTTGAGCGTCGGAGGCTCTACGCCGGAAACACCTTTGGCGTTGAGTTTTTGCAGGAATCTCGCGGTCTAGTAACGATTTGGAAGCGGTTCAAGCAGATCTGAGCTCACATCCACCGGTTTACTACAGATCTGGAAGTAGACCCATCACACGGGTATAACTAGTATTAGTTATATTACTTGTAGTTTTCATTACATATATTTTGTGTACACAAATTACATTAATATTGGCAATCATCTCATAATACTTGTACTTAAACTTACTTTCGATTCTTATTATATTTACTAGTATTTCATCCCGTGCATTTGCACAGATATAAAACACGTTTTTGTTTGTATTTATTAATTAGACATTTACTTCTATCATATAAAAATTATTACTTTTTCTTTTGGAGGGTAAAAATGTAACTCCTTTTGGAGTAATTAATTAGATTAGTGAGTGATTGGGTAAAAATGTAACTCCTTTTTAGACATGGTACTTCTATCATATTAATTAGATTAGTGAGTAATTAATTAAAAAAAAATGTAACTCCTTTTGGAGTGAAATGAAAAATAATTTTATTAAATGTTTTATTAAATGCATCAGCTAGTAATTATATATATATATAGGGATGCGTTCCGGTGAGAAAGGTACACAATGAAAGAAATAAGAATAAATTATAGCCATTAGATCTGATGATCTAATAACTAAAAACAAAGCCAAACTTATACTTATATTAAGGGTAATTAAGACATTTTCATAATAAATCATTGGAGCCCACACCAATTATACACTACATACCTGCCACGTCCACTATCCCGTCACCCATGACCCACCTCACCCCCTCTCTCTCTCTCTCTCACACACACACACACAAACAAACTCGTCGTTCTGCCCCACCCGGACACACACTTTACACGCGACTCACACACACACGCACACAGAGCACCGTCGTTCTGCCCCATTCAACAGCCATCCGTCGCCTTCAATTCGCCGCCCCCGTTAGTCTGCAGTTACCGTCAGTCCGCTGCCGCCGTCGGTCTGCACCTCCGCCCGTAATTCTCCGCGAGATCTGAAATGTCGACGATGTCCAGCAATTATCTACCGACGGATCCGGTGTCGGCCTCAGTACGCCGCATCGGAGGGCCGTCTATGCCGCTGCCTAGAAGACGCGGCAATCCACGATTCAGATGACGCCGACGGAGCCGCTCGCTGTGTTCACAGCCCTCTCGGCGGTTTCGAATGGCCGCGAAAATAACATCGGCTCTTCCAGTGACACCAACCGGCGCAGCTGCTGTTGTAAATATTTTTTCGGAGTAGAATCGAAAGATTCGAACACCGGGTCGTGTCTCACGAGGAAGGTTAGCCAGAATATTCTATGCGTTTATTCAAACAAAAAGAGAAACAAAATTCTTAAACATTCTAATTCAGATGGTTTGATTTGGGTTTAATTATCAACTACCAAGAGAATTTAAATTAAGCAATTGAAATAGCAAGCAACAACGAACAATAATCAGGATTTAAGAAGCTAGGGAGTCGGGGATATCTGTTTTGGTTCGAAAATGCAATTATCAAGCAAGAAATTATTCGGTTAAGTGATTTGACTAATCGACACGTTCAAGCACTCGTTCTCAATAACTTTTTGTAACAAGAGAACAAACTAGAATGGCTAATTAACAATTCATTTAACTTCTAGGCAATACAGTTGCGAACAAGCCTAGTTCACACGAGCTTATTTCGACCGACTCCTCCCCTTTCGGTTCTAAGAGTCAATTAAAGTAGACTAGGAGGTGTTGAATCAACTAGTCCGTTTAGAATAACCAACATCAAGCAAGAATATATCTAACTCAATTGAAAACAATTGGGGATTGAAGTGTCACCCTTCAACAGTTCTAAACACTCGAGCCCGACAATTGAAAAACCCTAGAAAGAGATTAACTCGCATGAAATTGAACAATCCTGAACCCGGCAATCACAAAAGACATCAAAACATCAATCTCCTATCCCTAGCATATGGATTTAGCCAATCATAATCGATTCAACACCAACAATCTCAACAATCAAGACAAACATATTCATAGATTAAATGAAAAGAAAATCTTACGAGTGATGAAATCCCAAGGTTGAATACGATAAACAAGCTTAATCCGAAAGCAATAGTGAAATCCGAGTTCAAATTCGTGTTCTACGATGAAAAATATGAAAGAAAGATGAAAAACGAGAGAAAAGAGACGAAAGGGTAGGGTTTTTATGTTCTGGAGTCGAGAGATCCCCTTCTGTTGCGATCCCGATGTATATATATAGTCACACGGCATCACGGCGCGAGGTTGGTGCGGCGCGGCGCGGCAGGCGGGTGTGGCGCGGCGTGGTGGGCGTCCGCGGCGCGGCAGGTAGGCTGGTTGGAGTCGCAGCCCAGGTGTAATAGCCCAGTTCTGTATTAATAAAAATGACAGTTTTTAGTTCCCAGTTGAACTATTTCTTTTTATTAATACTGCTCGTCTTGAGTTCCGAGCCCAGTTATCAGCTATTCAATCTCAGTTATTAATTCCGGTCCATTTATTATATCAATGGATTTTATTCAGTCGGAATTAATTATCCCAGTTGACGAATAATCGAAACCAAGTATGTTCCGATAGATCGTCCAAGTCAAGCCGTGTCCGGAACCGAGTATGTTCGGTCACGAGTATCGTGCCTAGTCGAGTCTCGTTCCCTAGCCGTGTCGAGTCTTGTTCGAGCCCTAGCCATGCTCATACCCTTACTTAGAATATTTTCTAAGTATGAGATCATTTTTATCGAGCCTTCGATATCATTCCCTCGGCCTAAGTAACCCCGCATCGAGCTCGTGCACGGGTCCGAGTCCTCGCGCCCAAGTGTCGCGTGCCTCGCCAAGCCGCGAGTGCCCAAGTCATGGTTAGTAATGTGGCATAATTTTTCTAAGTGTTTTGGTTTCCTAGACGAACCACGAGTTCAGCCTTAACCAAGGACTATCCTCGGCCAAGCATTTCCAAGCCCGGGCCATGAGTCGCGCC